TAAATTTTCAATTTAAAAATCAAGCTTATCACTTGATACACGTGTAGTAAAGACCAACCAGAGGTCAGGCAGTGTTTTTCTATCCCAACTGAAGTAGGCTCATTCTTACAGAGAGTGGAGTTTTGCAGTTTTGCATTACTCTAAGATGGGAGAGGAGAGTGAGACTACTAGAACCTGCTCTTCAGTACTTCAAATTCCCTGTCACAAAATAATTTCAACATGAAACATTTGGAATAGAGATAGGCTGCTGCATGGGGGAACACAGTCCCACACTTACAAGAGCACTAGAAAAAAATTAAAAAAGTTGTGCACTATTTTCCCCATAAAATTATCACCTAATATTCACAGATGCCATCTCTAGAAAGGTATGTTCTCAGAAACCAATGAATCACAGAATAGTTAGGGTTAGAAGGGACCTCTGGAGATCATTCAGTCCAACCCCCCTGTCAAGTCAAGGTCACCTAGAACAATGACAGAGGAATATGTCTCTTGGGTTTTGCATTTCTCCAGAGATGGAGTCTCCATGACCTCCCTGTCAGCCTGTAAAAAATGTGTTTTGCAAGTTACTTGTTTTGTCTGTGACTTTGATTCTCAGTCAGGAATGCTACATAACTTGTATTAGTGGTCTTGTGGACTTAAATTTTAAATTTGTTTTAATGCCTTTAATGAAAAGAGGATGAGTCTGTTGGGGATGCAACACAGACTTTAAACAATTACTTAAAATTTTTACTGTCAGAATCAGATGTAGGGCAGAACTCTAGGGCCATATCCCACAGAAGTCCAATGTAGCCATTAAGACTCTGCAACATCAACATGTTTAAAAGGGCTAAAGGTTTTATTAAACACAAAAGCACATTCTCTGCTGTGTTATGTTTCTTTATTTTCATTTTTCCATGCACTGCATAGCTGCCTACTGAGACAGTATTGCACTTTTTTTGTAGCTTGTCAGGATATATACCCTGAAACAATTGAAGAATTAAAGGACACAGGGTTTAGCTGAGTTCTTTCACTCCCAGACTTATTAATAATATGTACTTTCTTCCACAGTTAACCTTGAAACAGTTAGGTTTCAAAGCTAATATCCTGCCAAACTAAGTGTAGGCTTACAACTCTCATAGCTACCTCTTTTGTTTTGCAGATACTCTTTGCAAATGTTGCCTGGAGGAAGGTAAGAGGAAGTTTCAAATTTGCTTATAATACAGCAAATATGACAGCCAAAAATCAAATGCATCAAGCTTTGTCAGCCAGCCTTTGGATTTAAATCAGCAATTGTTTGGGGTTTTTTCCCCAAATAAAATCAGGGTCAGTCCCGAAGATCCAAACACACTGAAGTATCTACTTGTAGGAAATCCTAACAAAGAGAAAGGGAACATTGTTCATGGCATTGCTGATCACCTTAAACAAGTTAAGATCAGCTGTGGCATTTGCAAGTTCTCATTCACGATTTCTCTTAGAAATTGTTTGTTCTTTTTTTCTTTTGTTAAGCAAGAAATGCTTATTTTCTAATCAGCAATCTCACCAACATTTTTATATGAAAAGCTTAAAGGCAAGCAGTTACTCATCCTAGTTAATGCAGTGGAGGAGGGAAAGGTGATGGTAGTCAGCCACAGCCTGTACATATGTCTATAAGGTGCTGTACTTAAGAGGTACAAGGCTCCCTACATAATGTCCTTTGTCATCCCGCTGGGGATATATTTACACTGTAAGCTCATCTTGTCCTGTTTTGTTCGCAAATCATAATTCCTCAGTGTGCCATAACACCTCCCTAACACTCAGCATCTTCTGGTGGGGAACCCACAAGAATGGAAGAAGACAGGTTGAAAGAATGTACTAGGTACAGTCTACATCTATTCTGCACATCTGAGGTGAAGTGTGGAGCAGTTTATTCCATGCACCAAAGCCAATCTGCCAATACTGCCTCCAACAGCCCTGTATCTTTCCCATACAACCTATATCCTCTGGGCTCAGGTCTTCTAATGCTACCAAATGATGCTACCAAAACCACTCAAGCAAGGACATTGAGAGACAGTTTTCCAGGACACCTACTAAATATTTCCGAAGATGGAAACTCCACCACTTCCCTGGGCAACCTTGCCAGCACCCAGTTACCCTCAGAGTAAAAAACTGTTTCTTGGTATTCAGAAGAACCTCCCATTGTTTAATGCTGTGTCCATTGCTTCTGGCCTTGTCTGTGAAAAAGGATGTTAATGCTTTTGCAGGGAACCAAGGAGATGGAAGTTAGTTAATATACTACATTCTAGTGTATAACTAAGCAGGTACCACAGGACAGCCCCTGTAAATTCTCTGGTTCATGTCAGGGAAAACTGCAGAGATGTCCTCAGTGCCATCAGCAACTCATGGTTAGCACTAGACAGGTCTTTATTCTCAAATGTATGAAATACTTCCTCCAGTTAACTTGACAAGTATTTTTCTACCAGAATTTGGCCTTCAAACCCACAAATCTCAGCAGCACAAATCTTTAAAACCAGGCAGTTTTTAGATAGGGCCTGCTGCTTCTATTTAAAACTTTACTGAGTTGTTGTTTAAATTGCTGCTACCTCTATTTCGTTTTTCTCCACATTATTATTATCTGATATTGCTATACCACAACCAACACACACCACCTCTGAAGTCCATTAGGTTCCTACAGGTAGCTGGAAACTATCCATGGCCATGGAGAAATGAATCTCCATACCACCTATGACCTCTATGCTCCACACCTCTGCACCCCATTGTTGTCCTACAAGTAGTTAGAATGCGTCTTTAAACGTGTGTTTATACAGGTATTTGACATGCAGACATGTACATATAAAAATGTACATAAATAAAGTGTACCTATGAATAAATCTGAGAGCTGCACAGAGGAAACTGAGTGGTTGGATGCCACCAGCTCTGAGTATCTGGGGTTCCTAGGATCTGGCTGCACAGGGTAGCAGACCAGCCGTCTCTCTGAGACTTGCCCAATACAAAACAAGAAACAAAAAAAATTATATAACTGATTTTTATAGTCATTTACAGATGTCTTCTTAAATAAACTGGATTGAAATTTATTGTAGTCAGGCTTTATAGATCATTGCTGCTGCAGGAAGCAGTTCTCACATTCCTAGACCTCTCCCACTAATGTTCTCATCCCTTTCCTGTGTCAGAAAAAACATTTATGCTGTTGCAGGGAGTCTGATCAATAACAAATTCACTCCTTTCCCCCTGCCAACTTTGATTCCATTCCCTGAACAAATGCATAAATACTTTGCCAGCTCAGGCATGTAGTAAGTATAGCAATAAGAAAGAGTAAGACCATCTTCTTTCTGAAATTCTCAGATTATGATCTGATGAAGAACAAAAAATCCATTTCTCAGAACATTTTAAAATCATCAGACCACCCTAATATGTGCAGACCGGCAGCTAAAATCCACAAAAAGTATTACAACACACAGAATACTTATATTTATGAATGAAAGGTATCTAATGCATGGAAGTTACAAATTATACAAAGCAAGTCCTACTGCTCAACTCTTATTTCTGATATCTAAAAGTTAGAACATGCATAAGGCACATAAGACATAGAACAGCATGTTTACTGACTCCATGACAACAACACCAACTCAATACAGCTTGTTTATCGATAGAGAGAGTAATGTCATGAAGGATAAAGTTACTAATGGAGATTAGGACATGGACTTCATACAGTTAATGGACTATTCGACTAATGGACACCTAACAGAGATCATGTAGTTTAATGTCTTAAAATGGGCACTTTAGCACTGTTTCAGAGCTTTCCCTATTTCACAAAATGATGAAGAAAAAGAAGAAAACTTCTAGTTGAGTGGCAAATATAAAAAGTTGAATGTATGAGTTTTATGTTCACTGGAACACAATTTACTGTGTTCACATGATTCCTGTAAGGGGCAAAAATGCAATACCACAAAGGTAGACCAGGTAACTCAGACGGTATCTTAATTTTCATCTGAAGTTGTTTTCACTGTGAGTTCAGCTACATTTTATCCACATACCTGAGACTGTTACTTGAGAACACCACAAATGATGTTCCTGCTGCTGTCAAAATCAAGAATGAAATTGGGAAGATGAATTATCTGTTAAAATATATGCTATAATCAAATATATGGCAGTGGTTTGGCAAAGCAGAGATATTTGAGAGTGAACAGCTTGTGGAGGGGATTGAAGGTGCTTGCCAGCTTAGGGTTCAGCAATGTACATGCTGCCAACAAGAACATGTATTTTAGCTTACACATTAAACCAAACATAACCAAAATTGCCAGAAAATTCTATAGTAGATTTGGCTTCCTATTCTGAAGTTAGTTTGTTTTATCCAGAAATGACATTATTTAACTCACAAATAAAAATTTAAGCTGCTGTACAGTGCTCTGTTCAAAAAAATGGATTTATAAAAAATTACTTATCTTAGTCTGGGTTTATTTAAACAATGAGGATGGAGTTTTACAAATTAACTTTTATCCAAGTAGGAATATCAAACCTGGACGTTTCAAACACTGTATTGCTTGCTCCCTACATGCTTCCTCTCTCCCTGTTCCATGAGCCTATTTTCACAAGGGAACAAGAGAAATTAGGTACTTCTGTGTTTATTATGATTAGTCATGCTTCTTGGCTTGTGTTATTGTATTTTGCATTTAATAAACAAGCATTTATGTTGCAAATAACCTAGGAGTGGAATATATTTGTATATAAATTCCGAGAGCTAGAACATGATTAACTATCTTTTTTTAAAATCTTAAATCTTTCTCTCATAAGCACACAAAACAGAACCTTATCAGGAAATTTTTTTCTAATCTTCTCCCTTTGGGTGTGGCACATCTTTCTTTGTTGATCTGTGATTTTCAAGAAAAAATCTACACTGTAGAAAGCAATGGATTTAAAAAAACCATGACTAAAACGATGGTAGCTATTTCTCAGCATAATGTCCTTATGGCAGCATTTGAGTGATGCTGGTTACACACAGTGATTTATTAAAAACAATGTCATACCTGTAGACATGCAGGAGCTCTGCCTTGGGGTTTATTCACATCAACAGCCACAAGCTGCCAACCTCCAGCAGCATCTTCATGAAACATCTAGAAAGGGAAGACTGCTGTCAGAAATGTTTTATGTGGCAATAAATACAAGTGAGATCTAATATATTCCCCCTAAGGGCCAGCATACATTTTCATGATAGGTAGTTTAAAATAACAGAGGAATTATTCTTTCTGCTACAGACAAAAAAGTAACATGCTTTTTCCAACACTAATTGTCTGAATTTTACTCATATAACACTGAGTACAATTCAGACTAATTTCTGTATGAGTCCTAATATAGAAAACAATTTAGTTTATCTCTAACCAGCATCATTAGATGGTGGTACCTATTCAGAAAAATTTCCTTACTAAGGTAAGCTTATCCTAAGTAAACACATATACATTGTGACCACACAAATAAGCTTCATGGAACGTTTGGCAATAGCAGACAACCTCATCTTTTTTACTGGCAAAATTATTTTACTGTAAAGACCACTTTATTTTTGTTGCACTGATGCATATCAAGAGTAGCTGGACAGTCCTTATGTATTGTTTCACAGAGCTTATAATTCCTGTAAATAGCTGAATACTTCCAGGCTCTAATGATGGCAATGGAAAAGGCTCTCTTGACCACAGTGGTAGTCACATTTTATCAAGCCTCTGGAAGAGTAGACGTAGGCATTCTGTTTTGTTGGGTTTTTCCCTCAGAAATTAGGACACAAAATTATGCAGACTGCTGGACATAAGGAACAGTGGGACACCATTCCTGAAAGTGATTAACACTGTCCTTGAAAATGTCCTTGAAAGAAAATGAATGGTTCCAGCATTTTGAGTTGCCACCTGCATATACCATGCAATGAAGTGTGGCAAAGTTCCCACCTCACTCCCACCTTTTCCTTGACACCCAGCATTCAAACGAGTCACCTCAAGAACACAGCCACAAGAGCACGGTTGAAGTTTAAAAGTCATCCTGAGAGAAGTACTCATTAGACTGGGGACAGTGTCACCCAAATAAGGTTGTAATTCTTCCAAGTCTTTATTTAGCATCTCTGCACTGAAGAGTTGCCAATTAAGATCAGCACAGTTACTCCTCTTCTTACCACGCTTTAAAGTGCAGTGCTAAAGTGCTTTAGAAGAACCTCCTTTTATCCTTTTCTAGAGATCACTTCCTAGACTTCGACTCCTTGACACTTATTTTCTTTTCTGTAGGAATAAGTTTGGGGAGCAGCTCAGTAATGCATGAACTGGGAAAATTAAGGCAGATATTTCAAGGCTACTTCATGCACAAAACAAGCATGGGTTTTAATTTTTGTATTATCTGATGCTTTGAACAAGAAATCCTGCAAGATATTTTCTGTCAATCTTAATGCAGAAAAAGATAAATAATTTTTGCAGTTCGGTAACCTGGACTCTCTTGATGTCCCATTATGCCACTGACTCGGGGAATGAAGCAAGCATTCAAACCATTTGCTTGTCTGCAGCCAGCAAGCTATTTTCAATTTGTGTGATGCAGATTATATTCAACGTGTTCGTGTTCTTTGAATCTTAACATTATTTTGGATATTTTAAATTTCTTAATGTTGGCTGCTTCTTGTGTTTCCCTACACTGAACTCTCTGTTCCATCTTCTAGTTCAGAGTATGTTGAATAAGCCTATATGGCTCAGGATTTGTCCTATGAACATTAAGTTCCCCAGGCTAAGCATATGTCATGTAGAAAAGTCCATTTTTTTAGATTTTAAATTGATATCACAGATTCTGCTTTGACAAAGATATATAGAGTATATTTATACCACAAAGTATCTGAGGCAAAAAATGTAGCAGCCAGCAGAAAAGGACTAGATTACTAGATTTACATATGGATTAAAGAAATATAGAAAAGAATATAAAAATATTCATTAATTAATTTTGGAAACTTAAATCCTTTGGCCTAGGAAAATAAATAATCTCCAACTACATGGTTAGAAAAAATTCCCGCATAGGTATGTTTCTCATATCTGTCTTTCTAAGAGCTTTTTGCAGGCAGTTGGTACTGGTTCTTCTCAGAGATGGCAAACCACACTAGCCTGGAAAAGCCTGGTCTTTTGGAACACATAATCTGATTGTTAAAATAATGAGGGAGAGAATTAAAATCCCAAACCAGTAGCTCTTCTTTTTCATACTGTGTCCCTTCCCACTACCCAGCCCACCCTTCCTATCACAGCTTTCTCTTATTTGTTATTTCTATTTCGGGTCTCATGTTCTGTGGCTGTCCCAGCTGTGAGCACAGTTCTTTCCCTGCCCCTACAACCTATCCTTCCTTGATGTCAGCACACTCTTCTCACTTCCAGGACCAGCTTCCCCAAACACTTCAGCTACTGAACTCTGACCCCTCTTCTTCAAGCCACCACTTTGGGATTTCAGCTCTTATTTCTTAGCATAGGAAGTGATATCCAATAGCAACCCTGACTTCCAGACCACCAATGATGTGATAAAAAAGCATTACCGTACTTTGTTAAAGAGAACACAAACACAGCAATAACGTACCTAGCCATATAGAGAACCGTATTACAGTCTTTATTATTTGTTTTTAAGAAAGACTAGTTAGATAATACAACCAAGAATTTAATCTTTTATGAAAATTCGTATATCAGGTTTAGAATATAGGTAGTAACATGTAAAGTAAAATATATCATATATGACAGGAATTTTTGCTTATTATTAATTCATAAATGAAACTAAATTGAATCCCCAAAGATTCTCAGCATCTCAAGTGCTTCACCTGGGTGGTGGCGGTTGAAGTAGTACTGCTCCTGGATCCCCACATCTGCTGGAACTGCACTCTAATTTCTGCAAATGTTTCAATGATGACTGCAATAAAAACATTCTGGAAAAAGAACAAGAAAGAAGGACTGACACAAAGCTCAGCATGCAGAAAAGAGAAGAAATTAATTCTAACACGATCTATGTTTCAGATCAATTTAAAAAGTCGTATTTTTCAGTACCTTAACAAGCCAGGCCAGAAAGAAAATTAAGGTGATGAAATAGAAATATGAACGCCATCGGGGAAAACTGTCAATTGCTCGGTACATAAGGAACACCCAGCCTTCCTGAGAAGCAGCTTCATAAACAGTAAATATGCTTGTGCCTGTCAGAGGAAAAAATGAAATTTTTTGGATTAAACCTCCCTGAAAGTTTCTAGTGTCAGCAAACAAAACTTTTATCTATCCTAATTTTGTTTTTTCTAAAGGGTATCATCTCTCCTCCTTCACAGAGAAGATTTTCTGGTGCATTTCCACATTTGTTCCTTTTGCAATTGAATATGAATTGGTTTTGTCTGATCAGACTGACTCCCCTCCCTGGACAGACATGAATAATCCCTTAGAAGAGTTCACTAGCAGTATGCAAATGCCTCCAAAAGCAGAATTTGTCCCATCGTTTGCATTCAGCAGCATCCCTGAGAAAAGGCAGATTTAACAAGGATCAACATTCAGTAGGTTAAAAAAATCACCTTTAATATCAGCAACACTGAGCAAGCAGCAATACAGCAAGAAAGTGCCTGACACTAGCAAGCACAGGTAAGTATCTACAGCAAGCTACTGAACTGTTTTGAAATTCAGTTAGTAGCTGCATTAATATACGTATGTTGCCTTAAAAAAGCATTTTTAAGCTAAACTTGCTATATCATTCTGAGGGGGTGGAGAGAAGATGAAAGGAAAGTTATGAGAGACCTGTGTGTGCAGAAACCAATTCGGAATAACAGCTATAAAGCTACTAATTTTAAACTTAAAGTCTGAACTAAACCTAATGTCTGATATGCTTTAGCCAGCTTGGTCTTCCTCCTTATCTCTGCAATGAAACCTTCAAAATAGAGACTGGTTATGGCTTGTAAGTCACTCTTGTTTAAAGCAATTTTTTTGTTCCAAGAAGAAACACAATTAAACTGTGAAATTAAACTGTGAAATCTCACAAACTGCTGTGAAATCACAGAATTGTCCTACAGCCACCTGCTAGCTCTGCTCCACTATTGCTTTGTTTCATGGAATGCCTTCGATAAAAGAGAGGGAGCATAAGGAGCACTGCCCTTAGCAAAACACAGCAGCTGCTAGCAACATTGAGAAAGTTGACTATCTGATCCTTTCCACAGAGAAAGAAGCAGTTCAGGGCAGAATTCTAGAGTCCAGGAGTTTCCACAAAAAAATCACACCATAGTATAAGGAGCTCTGTGCTGTTATTTTCCCGCTGAATTTGCAACATCTATATCTTTTTGTCTGTTAACATGGACTGGATGAACCTGGAACCAGTTTTGTCTCAGGGTGTTCCTTCTGCAGATAAATCTTCACTGATGAGAGGAGAGAGGGAAAAATTGAATTTTTTCTCTATAACACCTGCTTTTGTTAGGTGGTTGTCAAATGGTTAAGATGGGCATGGTGGATAGGCAAAACTGTTAGTTTTTTCAGTTATTAGATTCTTTCTTTTTCCTGCACATGGTTATTAGGACCAAGGGAAAGAAATGAAAACAAAAGGAAAGGAAAAGCATTAAAGCATAGAAAGCAAAACTCTTTCTATTTCTTTAGAAGAAAAAGTGGTCTCTATCAATACTGAAATATTCATCAGTGATTACTTCATGGGTATTTTACATTTCAAAAATTCAAAAAGTAATGGTTCAATTGTCTAATAATATACTGTTGCTGAACTGATTAAATTATTGAACAAAACAGTGCTGTTGAGGACAGGCAGAGATTAAGGAAAAAAAAGGAATCTATTAAAAGTTGCTGGCTAGAAAATTGTCATTAGTCATTATCAATGGGAAAGTCACAGTGAAGATTAGTAAAATAGAGGGGATGTCATGCAAACTATTTATAACACATCACTGGGCCATCTGCCACAGTAAAGCAATACTGTGAATGAACAAAAATGCACAATTAACCCAATTAAAATGAGTTTGCCTGTGACACTAAAGTAAAAATGTCTCTATAGTGTATATCTGGTAGAGGTATTCTTAAGGATATTAGAAAGCAATCCCTCTTAAGAATATACCTTCTTGCTTAACATATGTGACTAGAAAGTAATAAAATGTTCATTACTGATGCCAGGAACCACGCTGTTCACTATCTGGAAATCCTCTTTCATATATAATAAGGGATGCAACACCATGAAATGTTTTGCCTTCAAAAATAAGAATAATTCTTAGTTAACATCTACCTTACTGCATGTTTTTGCTTTTATGTTTTTTTCTGATTATTTCTTTAATTTCGAACTACATCTTCCTAAAGCCAATGAGTAAGTTATTAAAAGACTCTCCTCTCACAGCAACATACTCTGTTTTTCTCACCATGTTCAAAGCCATATGGAGGGTGAGAAAATATCAAAATTTTAAGTGATGGTAGGATACATCCCAAAAAACCAGACATGGGAATGCTGCCATAAATGAAACCTAACATATGCCCCTCAGATCAAATGGCAAATTTATTGTTTTCCACAGATGTCTGTATTTTATCAGTGACATAGTGTCTTTTCCTAGTAGTTCAAAGGGCTTAAGTAATGACAGTGTAGTGCAAAGAGTCTCATGTTAGGGTGTATGAGAACACAGATTGCTCGGAAGCAGGAATATGGGTGTCACAGGGAATGAGGACAGGAAAACCTGCAGGGCCTGGCTATTCAATACATAACAGGCCCTGCTACTTCAGAACACAGTCACCTCTTGTCAAAGTCCTGAACATTAGGATCATGATTTATGCAATATAACTGTAGACAATGGTGAGGCTTTTCAGTCACGATAAAGCTTTGAATCATGAAGAGTTAAACACATGGTTGTTATGACACTGCTCATCAGCTTAGGCATGTTGGCGTGGGTAACTTGCTGAATTTGAGATATAAAGATATCTAGCAAATATTTATGATAATTTTCCTATTTATTTCAGTAAATGGCTAAACCTTGATGGCATTCAATATTAATTTGGGAAGAACTTCCTGATGATAAAAGAGTTAAATAAAGTAACATGTTTTGAAGTTTTTGTGTTTTGTTTGAAGTTGTCTAATAAATTCCACTTTTTGATGTTACGATAAAAGAATTCCTTTAAACACAATGATAGTTAAAAAAAAATGGAAAGAAGAAAACAACTTCTCAGTAGAGATTAAAACTTAATAAATCAACATCATAACCCATATCAAACTCAAATGACTACTTTTATCTAAGCAAGAAATACTCCTGCCTTTGGAAATGTTTTACAGCTGTACATGGTTAAAACCAAAAAGAAAACAAAGAAAGTTCAGAAAATGAAACATTTAGTGAAATACTGGGAAAGAGACTGAATCTTGCTCAATTTCTGTGACATTATCACTTGCTCCATACTGTATAGAAGAAAAGACAGCAACCAGAGACAAACTGTATCCTTACTGATATTGTATGTTTATGTATGGGGATTCAGCACCAAAGTGCAGGGGGCTTATTTTTTCTTCAAAACATGTGCCTTTCAGATCTAGAAGATGGGAACATTAATCTGAAGGGGCTTGGAGAAAATAAGTGCTTTAACACTTAAATAATTGTAATAAAAGAAAATTCTAATGGTATCCATGCCTAATCAGGAGCAAGGTAACATGGCTCTTCTATGCTCTACAGATAAGGAGATTACCAAGGAAACAAAAAGAATTAGAAGAGCCAGGGAAGAAGGTAGTGATTCTTCTTGGGGGACTAAAATAATCTATCCTGCCAAAAGGCTATCTTTTAAATATCTGAGGAATATAGAAGGTGTGTATTTTTTAAAAAAGGGACTAAAATTTAACAGAAAAATAGTATTACTATGCAGGGATGGTCTTTAATGTACTGCATTTTATATGTATGCACATTTTGCACATACACAGGATTTTCTGCTTGTTTCTGTGACTCTGACACCACCATGCTCTGTGACATCATCTCTTTCTGTAACCAGTTCATTCTGTAAATGGACATCATGAGAAAGGGAGTGCACTGAACAATGCTGTAGTTTTATAATAGCAGAATTAAAGGAGCAAAGCTAGAAGGTCACATGGAAAATTCACTGAATCTGGACTCAAAACCCTGTCCTCCTCACTCAATGATCCATTCTTGCTTCTTGATTCAAAATCCCATATTATTTGAGGAAGAGAATGTATGGTGCTAAGGAGTTGGTTTTCATTAATATTTTTGTGCTATGTGTAGTTATTTCAAGTGAGATACAAAAACTGAAAACTAAGTTTATCTATTCATTAAAACCAGCAAACTCTGCATGTGTCATTTATTTTTATTCACTACCTTGGCTTACCATGTTAGGATTTTCTCAGTTTTCTTGTGATGTCTGTGAAGCTGCTGAGAAAGAAAAGCTTCAAGAAGGCCACTTTATGTAAAAAAAAAACCACCTAAAAACAACTCAGAAAGTTTTCTTTTTTAACTTCTTGTTTTTTCTTTTCAATCAGGAATTATTCAGGCAAGTAGAAAAGCATGCGTTGTTGTTAAAAGCTTAAAGCACGACCCACTGCCACGCATGGAACGCACCGGATGCGAGGCAGTGGCGCGCTCCTTTCCCTCACTTGACAGCAGCCGCTAGATGGGGGTCGTGCACCTCGGGCACATCTGGAACATCAGGCGGCGGCGGCGGCGGAGCAGCCACCCCGGAGAGCGCAGACTGCCAACCTCTCGGTGCGCCGGCGAAAGGATTGATTCTCCCATTTGCCGGCAAAACTAAGCCGCCTTCTGGCAGGTGCTGCTGTCTAATTTCACTCTGTTGTGCTGCACGCTGCAAGGCAGACTTCCTTAACACGGCTCTGTGGGTGACTGTCCAAAAAGCAATGACCTCTTCCTTAGCTATGGAAATACTATCATGCCTGTTTCTGTCCCTGCTTACCTTCACTCATAAAATCACAAAGCTGTATGTTTCTGCAGGGCATGGGTATTTCAAATGACCAGTCAGCTTTTAATTTATGTTGTCTTTCAGTATTAAGGTATTTCTAAAACACTGCATGGGGTGAGGGTTTTTCAAGTGTTTAACACTATAGCTTCAGTAAAACTAGAAAGGACTAAAAATTGTCCAGAGATGCAAGGACAAAGTTGTTAACACCTCTGGGAAGCAGCTGGCAGGACTGAAATCAACTGAAAGATCAAATCCTGAAAGGCTTCTTTGGGTTTCTTGT